GGGGGGGGGGGGGCCGGGGGGGCTTACCTGTCCGTTGGTCTTGACAGCTGCGGCCGCGGCGGCCGGGTCCCCGGCGGCGGCGGCGGGGGGGGGGGCCCCCTCCGCGGACACCTCTCCCTTGGATGAGTGGGATCCCATGGTGTTCGGCGAGCTGGAGTCCTCTAAAGCAAATTAAAAAGAAAAACTAAAAAAGAGTGGGTTCAAGTTAATCCAACCCCAGGGTGAGTTCGGTATCCGGCGGGAAGACGAGGGGAAGTCTTTTGTCTTCGAACAGCGCGAGCTCCACTCTGCGGCTCGTGCCTGTGACTTGTCGCCTGGATGGAGAGAGACCCTCTAAGTTCAGAGCTCGCGGAGAGCAACGATTCAACACAACTACAGGCTCCAGGCCCCGCCCATTTATTGTGTTCCACCAATCAACGTCGGAGCAAGGGGCACGTCTGGACAGTTTGTCCAATCAGCTGCGACTATCGAAACGTGTCCACGCCCTCACATCGGACCCCGACAGTGAGGTCGGTTCAGCTCCACTCAATTCGGAGTTTGAACGCAACAAATAATAAATAGCAAAAGATACTGACTAGCCTGGAAGTTTTTAAAGATTCTTTTCCTCAGATTCTTTTCTTTGTTCGGGAATGTTTTATTACCCAGTTTGTGTGTGTGTATCGTCATCTATGTGCTCACAGAGACAGAAGAGCCAAGAGTGTGGGATTCCTTTACACGAGAGGTGTGCGTGTGCATACATTTGAATAAGAAGTGCAACTTGCGGCTGATAAAAAAGTATATCATATGCAATAAAAATGAGATGAGGATTTATAACAGAGCATGGGATAGCTGTCCGTTGAATTATAGGGGGATTTCTTCATTTACAAATTACTTTTTTGTTCTGCACACTGTAATCGAATGGTGAATGAATCATTCTATATCTTTTTTCGAATCAATGCATTGTTGTAACAGCACATGTTTGGATCATATATTTAAAATATTCAAAGAAATGATGTAGTCTACTCTCAAGGTAAATTGGTGGCATGGACCACCTGGATTATGTTGGCTTCACTAAAATGACAAAGTACAGGTACACGTAATCAAGAATCTGTTTCCCTCCTGATCTCCGCTAAACCTTTTATCATTGCACTGACATGCCACTGAAATAGTTTCACTTTAGAGGATTTCTTAATATGGAGGAGAATTCCTGTGTTTCCCTTTTGGTTTCAATTTGATTCAGCTTTTAGCCATAGTATCGGGGAACAGTAGGACTGGTTGCTAGTTTCAACAGCAGTGAGAATAAACTGACCAACATGAGTTTGTTCCAAAATAGTTTCTGTCTCTCAGACCTAAATCTGGATTATGTGACACTTCAGATCAATTAATTTTTATCTGTGAAACGCCAAATCTCCTACAAAGGTCATTAGTGGTCCGCAATAATCAATCCACAATACAATCCAGTTAAAGCCAATTTGAGTCCATTTCACTGCAATACAATAGTTCTAAATTAGTCTTACTCATACAGAGCTAACTGATGCAAAGTTTCCTATCTTAGAATGACATCATACAGGACACCAGATGTGACACAATGCATAAATGAGTCTGTCCCCACCAGCAGAACCAGCCCAACAGTAAAACGAGCCCTCTTAAGCCTCTAACTCTGTCCCCTGGATATGGGAATGCATCTATCTTCTGTTGGTCTGGCTGTGGTGGAGCTTAACAGCCGGTCACGCCGGGCCCTCATGTCTCCGTGGCTGGATCGGTTGTTCAACTCCTCTTGTCAACAACATACCAGCAGCAAAATATGTCTGTGTGATGATCATGCACATTCCATCTGATCACTTTCCTCCACGCAAATCCCTAAACACAGCTGTTGAGGCTAAAGATCCCGGTTACGGGAGGAAAAGGCCTCAGTGTTCAGTGATACAAATTGATCTCCTCTGCAACCAATGAGCGTAATTGATTTAGTAAGAATTGGGAACGGTGAAGTGCGTGTCAGCAGCCTGTCATGGTGCTCAGCTCCCCTCCACTTCAGGCAACATGTGAGTTCAAGCACACTTTGGGGAAGCGTCTCCAAAGTTACTCTCCAGGCACATTATACAACTATAAGAAAATCATTTCAAATTTGTTGAAGAACGATATAGGAGGCAGTTCACATTCTAGTAATGCAAAGAACCGTGTGTCATTCATGTGCCTGTAGGAGAGGATTCTGCTAAAGGTTGTTGCAAACTACAAATCCTTTGCTCTGACCAAAGGATGTGCAGTTCATTTTCTCCAGAAAAGTGGAGATGAAAGCAAAATAAGATACACCCATATGCATGTGCCTGTTGAAGAATGGAGGAATAATCCAATCCTGTGTCGCTTGTTGGCTTTTTTCGACCACGATGGGGGAAAAAAGACGAAACAAGTTTAAATGTAATCCTAAAAAGTCTTCTTAATTTAGCCTTTTTTCAAAATGTGAATGAGTGTGGGATGTTTTTAGGATGAGAGCTGAATGCTAACACAAAGCTGTGTGGAGGTCTGTGCTCTGTGGGGCTGCCTCTCTGTCTGAATACATCGCCATGAAAAACGCTGTCTCTGGGCTTTTCCTCCTTTCTGTCCTTTTGCGTTATTTTGTGGTTCTTCCTCGCTTCACAGCAGTCACACGGAGAAGACGAGTTTTCCTGGTTCACACATCATGCTGGATCTCTCCAGCTATGCATGTAGATGTCATAATAATGTGTCTACTGTGTAGTCAGGAATGCCAGGCACGCAGGCCCTCCCGTCTCCTCCAGCCATCTTCTCCTCTCAATGGGCTTCTTCACAACGCCTGAGGTAACTTCGGGGGTTATGGGGGCGGCAGGATAAACGGCATCATGGTTAGCTTTTTCTAGTTGCATCAAGTATTTCTTTCTTCTTTTTTCCGGTGAGACTGTGGCCTCTGTGTGATGCCGTTGACAGTGGTGTGGAGGGCAGGCTCAGCGTCTCCTCATCTCCCTGTCACCACACATGGCACTTTCCTCTGAGTAATGTGCGTCTCTGCGCTCGCACATGTTCGTCTGGGTGTTATGTGCATATAAGGGAAGCATTGTCATGGGACCAGCAAGAGTCAGGAGGTGAAAGGCACAAAGAAGCACTCCTTTACACATAAGCACACATCATCCGTCCCACACACACACACACACACACACACACACCATTAAGGAGTTGGCCGTGGCAGAGTTCATATAGATGTGCTGTGGGCTGGAATGCAAAGGGAGGGTAAGAGGAAGGAGGGGGGGCTGATCTGTACGACACAATCGCAGCTTCATATTTGGTGACCAGAACTGAGGCAACAGCAGCTGGCGTCCTGGCTCATTTGGGTCATACCAGTACAGCTGCACAAGTCCTGGTATTTGCAGCCTGACGTGTGCTGTGTGAGGGGCTTGTTTGCAGAATGATGAAGGCTGAGGAGAGGTGTGTGACGCAGGTGCGTGAGATGTACAACTCATCACAGCTCAAGAGGCCACAACTACTCCAGAGGTCACCAAAATGCATAAATAAGACTTAAAAGTGTAAGTTTAAAGCTGTACTTCTTGTAGGACCTTTTCTTTTGCTATGAAAGCCATTCCTCTGAGGCTTTTTCTCAGTCGCAAAGTCTATCAAAATGCCTGTGTAAAGATAAAACAATGCAGTCAGGTCAGCCCGCCAGGAAACCCAGCGTAAACAGCAACAGTGCTTTAAGGAGCAATGTTGGGAATTTAGATAGAGAACTGACATTAGCGCAATGCCGTCTATTTACTGCATTTTGCCATTTAGAGATGGAACTGGGGGGAATCAACTTTTCTCTGGGGAAATCACCCGACTCTTTCAGGCCTGTGTCGTTGGGTAGTGCGGGTCCTACCGGCGCGCTGAAGGTACTTTCCGAGTAGGCAGCGGTGCCATGGTGAATGAAAAGGTGGAGGAAGTGAAACATGATGTCATCCTCACAAAAGCCACAAAGCCACTCAGTTGTCATTTTCAGTTGTATTTGTTGCCCCCATTTAGATGAATGAATGAACGTTTTGAGCTTGAATGGTGACAAAGTTTGCGCTTATTTCAATGAAACTGGAAAATGTTACAGTTGAGTGAGGTAGAAGTAAAGCAGACAGTGTGTTTTGTAATAATGTAATAACCACGTGACTCCAATGACAGATTTCTGTTGGGTTTGTGAGTATGAATCAGACAGGCACGGCCTCTTACTGGAAATTAGGAGCCTCTCTCTGTCTGAGTCAGTAGAAATATTTTTAAAAGTATTTACTTCTACTTTTTTAAAAACATACTTCAGTGAATCCTTCAAGTTGTCTCTGGCCTTTACCCTCGCCCACAAGCATCCTTTGATTGAATGCTCTCAGGGTTACCTGCTCTGTGCCTTTCATCCCATGATTGTCATGATTCATTTTCATGTCAGAGACTTTTCTTTAAGCCTACGTATGAGCTCGATCCCTTCACTTGCTTCTTTTTTTGCCAGTCAATGACGCTTTGTGCGCTGCTGGACGTTGAGCTGTGGTTATGTTCTGTCTCCCAAAGGCTTCATTGTTTTGTGCCTCCTTACCCTATGGATGAGCATCACAAGTCTTGCTGGAGGGGCAGAGGAGTTGTGGAACTGGGTGGTTAAACACAGTGAAGGAAAAGACCGAGAAACTAAGTATGCTGAAAGTTCAGAGTTCACAAAGGGCTTTCTCTCTCTCTTTACTATATTTGGACACGACCAAAAGATGCCATTTTAAAATAATAAACCTGGATTAACCATGGCTTGATGTCAGCCTTTTTAATCAAAGCCAGGTCTTCTGTGGTCCGTAACAGCGAAGAGCCCGCTGAGTCCTTTAAGCGCAGATTTCCGGACAATAGATAGCATATGGCTTAGCGTTTTAGCTGACAGATGTCAAAGCTGGACAAATAGAGAAGAGGGAGAAAAAATAATCATGACTAGCTCTGAGCTGCCTCAGTGACAGGGTGTCAGGGAGGTCAGGGGTGGGGGGCTGGGGCTGAGAACAAAGATGTAAGGAAGTGGGGAGGTGGAGTGCTGTGTGGTACTCGAGTACTGATAAATGCCAGCTAAGTTGGTCACATTAACATGTTGTTTGGACTGACAAAAAGGGGAAGTGTTTGGGGGTTTCCGTATGTCATCCAAATATTACTACTGAATCATATAAACCTGCCATGTCGCGTGACATTTTACTTTCATTTTCTGTCCACTCACTATCTCTCCGTTTCAGGTTCATTTCTGACCAGAGAGAGGAAATCTCTGAGGGGATTTTTTTCCCAGGTTGTGTGTAGATTTGCATTTGTCACAGTGTACATAAAGCCAATGGTACCACAGAAAAGGATGGGCAAACAGTTTTTTCTTTGTTTGTTTCTCTGGGG